GATTGTTCAGGGCAGCATCCACTCAAGTTTTTAATATCTCCAGGGATGGAAATCCCGCAGCCTCTCTGGGCTCCCATCCCAGTGTTTGACCACCCTCACAATGAACATTTTTTTCCTAGTATCTAATCAAAATGTCCCATGTTACAACTCTTACTGGTGGCCTCCTGTCTTTTCATTGTACACTTCTGAGAAGGACCTGGCTCCATCTTCTCTGGACCCTCCCGTTGGATAATTGTAGGCAGCAGTTAGACCCCACAAGGCTCCCATAGGGTTTCTGCTGTGGAGGAATCTGGCAGTATGAGATAGAGGGGGTTTTATTTATTTTTGCTTTGTTTATTTATTTTAAAAAACTTTATGAATTGTGTCAGAGGTTGTGCCAGTATCTTTAAGACTCCTTAATTAAATTGTACCGATGAGTGTCTTTCTTTGATTTCTTTCAGTGTCCAAAGTACAATTTGCCTTAGACATAAACTGACTATAAATCCCTGACTGCAATCAGTGAAGCTGCACGGCACCTGTCTGCCTCAGGAAAATTAATCTTCCTGGGGTTTTTGTTTGGTTTGTTTTCTTTTGTTTGTTTTCTTTTTTTTTTCCCCATCCTAAATGGGGGCTGTTAAAATAGCAAATCTGTCCAGAACATTTTCAGTATTGAAAGTTCAAGACTCCAGATCTTCTACAGCAAGGTCAAAAAAAATGCAAATCTAGACATCTCTATTTTCTTGCATGGCCTGCAATTAAAGTGATTATTTCAGAGGGTGAGAAAAGACTTTTCGCTTTTTTTTTTTCCCCTCCTTTAAGAAAGCACAATGCAATCTACTACTGGTGAACCTGACTGAGCATGACAGTTCCCCAATTTAGCAAGGAGGTTTATGTGTTCTTCTTACATGTTGAGAAGAACATCCTTACAAAATTGTTTGGCTTTCTCTGTGATTACATCTCTCCTACAATCTCAATTACTGCAATAGGCTATGCTAGAAACATAAATTTTAAAATATACCAAAGGCAAGCAGTAAGACCGTTTGCATACTCCCAGAATTTAACCAACTGGCAAGAAGAAGCTGTTCAGAGACTTAAGCCACTACTGACCTCTGATATGAGAGATCAGTTCCTCTTCTTCACCCAGGTGACCAAGGACATGGAGCAGGAAGGCACCAGGTCAGCAAGGACATGAATTCATTATATGCCTCCTCACCTCACATTAAGAGGCCAGCCAGCCACATCAGGAATGGACTACCTCTCCCTCTCTTTTTCTGTTTATTTGCTCATTTCTTACCTGGCAACCTATTTTTTCCAGGCTGTTTCCCAACCAGCCTCAGCAGCTAGAACAAAACTGTTCCGTGTTAGGTTCCCGTTCAAGGACAAACATGCTTTGTCCATTGATAGTTGAACCTTTCCTTCTGTTAGGCAATTGCTCTGATATCAGGCAAAGTCTTCTGCACCTCAAGACATGAGCAACAGCACCTCCATTGAGATGGGCTATCAGGTATATCCCTGTTCCCCAGCCGCAACTGGTGACCCCCAACAAAGGGGATACAAATCCTGAGAAATGAGTAAGCAAGGAAGTTGTCTGGGGAGAACTGGTAGGAGGGATGGCATCATGGCACCAATATGTGTCCCAATGGCTCTGAAAGGATTTAATTATGGTCTTGATTAAAGCTGCTCGCAGGGATGATCTTTGTCTCAAATATAAAGCAGAATACATCTTTTGCTAGACTTATCGCAGCCTATGGATTCAGAAATTTTGTCAGAGACAAAATAACAAGCCTCTTCTACAAGCAAATGAAAATGCACACAATCTTCAGACAGGTTTTCTGGCTTACATTTCACCCATGAAGAGACTTGCTTCATTGACTAAAACTGGTTTTAATCTTAAAGCAAATTAGCAAAATGTGAATATGCACTCCAGATGTCAAGCACTTCATGCTCCAGACACAGCAGTCTCGTGGAATAGCAGCGCATGCAAAAGTTGTAGACAAGCCAAGGAAATCCTCTTGACTTTGATTTGTTCTGTGACCATAATTAGGTCACCAGAACCTCTAGTTTTTCTGATCTAAAAGAACTGATGTATGACACTGATCTCTTCTCATGTAATGTAGTTAGCAATGCCCACTGCAAAAGCAGCCCTTGCCTAAAGCTTCTACACGGGGGGTTAGGAGATGTTATTATCTTTCCTCTTTATGCCTGTGATGTTTGCACAACATTATTAAACAATGTTTCTTGTAAATCACCTTGCTGAAGATTGTTACAAAAAGAGGATTTTTGCTTGATGAACAAACAAGACAGGAAATAAAATACCTCTATGTCTTAGCAACCTTAAGGTGATGAATAAAACAAAATGATAGAAAATGCAGCTGGAGTGAAGTTCAAGGATCAACCAGCTATCTCTCTAACCCAATAGCTATTTTTAAGACCTTCACAGATGGAGGTTTCACTGACTCAAGCAATCTATATATACATATGATATATTTTAAAGTGAAATTTTTAAAATTATCAACTTGAATTCTGTGCTGTAGTTTTGGTTCACCAATTTTTGGCCAGTCTGTGAATCTGAATAAGAGATTATTCCTCTCCTTTTTTACATAGTCTTTTTGTGTCTTCAAGGCTATGTTCCTATTTTCCTGCAGTCTGCTTTTTGCTAGATTAAGCAACTTCATACAGTCAGTCTTTTCACCTGGCTATATCCTCTAGACTGCTGTCAACTCATTGCTCTGTGTCCCTCTTGAAGCATGGTGCCCAGGAGTGGGCATAGTACAGCTGCTGGGTACTGTGGAAGGAGTAGAGCCGAGGCATGTGAGACTAGTGTTGATCCCATGATGGTGGTTGTCGCTCTCATGATAGGGTGACATTATTAAATCATGTTCCACTTGTGGGGCACTTTACGTGCTGCATGTGGGGGGGATTTATTGAAGGCTTGCCCAGCCCAATGTGATTACATCCACAGTCCTGCACTTCTCCTTTGTTGAACAGCATCTTGGGTTTTGTCCAGTTTCCAATTCATCAATCAAGATAATTTTGAATTCTAATCCTAGCCTTCACAAAGGCCTTTATCACGGTGGGCATCCCATTAATGACCACAGAAGTTTTCATTCTGCAAGCTAACACAGACTGAGAAAGCCTGCAGTCATTTAAGTTGCCTATTGTTATAGCTCCCTAATCCCCAAGAATGAGGTCTTTTTCTCTTCTCTCTGAGTGGCAGCTACCACAAATAGATTAATAGAAACTTTGGCTTTATTCCTTTGTCTATGGTCTTTCAAGCATACCTCTCCTATATTCAGCTTTTGCACCTTTTAGGTTGCCTTTGTAGTCTGGTTTAAGTATACATTTCCATAGAGCCTTAGCCTAAAATTGCTGAATTGTTAAGCACTGCTTCTTAACCTGGCAAGAGGGGATTTAAACCGACCATATGTGCTGCACCCCTGTGGTGGGGAAACACCCCCCTAACACAGTGTCTGTTGCTCCACAAGTATTTCTTCTGTGGGAATCAGAAGAAGATTTGAGTGTCAGATCCTTGTTCTGTTTGTACCCACATCAGTATAATATAGGAGTACAGAATTTCTTTCAAGAAAATGCGCTCCTGATTTTATACAGGAGAAAATGGGAACAAGTCTTGCCCCTTTGTTTTCTTCATGTGTGAAAGATCTTTCCTGAAATGGGAAAGACAAACCAAACCCTGAGGACAACCCACTGATTCCAAGGACAAAAGTGATGTGAAATCTTACCTTTTAAGATTTTAATTCCTTTCCAAAAACACACTTTCTTCCAATTCCTGTACAAAGCACAGCATCTCCATAAAAATAGTTCCACCATGCCTCTGCCACACATTTTGAAGGAAATTTGTTTCCAAGAAATTCTGAAGAGATTTGCAAACACCTAGAAAAGGTTTCACTGCTGGATACATTAGGATTTTTTTTTTCCTGAGCTCTGCTGCTCTATGCCCTTCAAACCTAACTTTTACTGTGAAAAATCCCCTCTCCTACTCATCTGTGCAGAAAAGCAGCAGAACCATCTTCCTCCGTGCCACCACATGCGGCTTTACACAGCACAGTTTTTTTTTTTTATAAGTGAGAATTTTGCAGAAAGGCAGAATATTTTCTCCCAGCTGACCCCACGCTCACCAGACTCAGTGCTTCTCAGGCATCAGAGCTGTCTGGCTGCTTATGGGGGAACATAAACTTCTCACTCTCACATGGCGAGGGGAAACCTACAGAGTGAGCGCTGAAAAATAACTGTCCTGCATCTAGAAAGGACAAAATGGGCGTCAGTAGGCCAAAAGGGCAGGAGGAGATTGAGTGTGTACTCACAAAACAAGCGAAAATGGATACGTATGTTCTTGATCTTGCAGCCAGAGGATCCTGATGCTTTTACAGCGCAAATAACTTTTTTTTCTTACTTTCTTTTCCTTCTACACACTACCACTAGGGGACGTTTGGTCATCACGTATCGCTCGCTACACAATTTTACTTCTCCTTACAGTGGGTCACGCTTTCCTTTCAATCTTGGTGCACATCTAGATCATGGAGTGGATGTCTGAATTTTGTAGGGCTTGTGGATGACCCAGACTCGCTGGAGCTGGGAAGGAGAGAAGTATTTATTTCCCCCATTTCTCCAAAGGAGCCCATCTATCAATACTCCTTACAAAGTGAGGCAGCTGGTTATTTCACAGCTTGCTGGAGCAACACGAGAAAACTGAGGGCTGCCTCTCATTTTAGTGTTAAGTGCCTAACACAGACACTGCAAGTGGTTTTGTGAAGATAAAAGTAATATGCAGCCACTGCAAATTAAACTGGAATGAACATCACCAGCAGTGATGCATGTTAAGGATTTTTCTGGAAGAACAAGAGTATCTTTTAGACTAAATAATTAGAAATCAATTGGCAAAACTCACATTTCACTCCTTTTTTCCATTCTCATCTCATTTGTCCTAGGATAACTGACTTGTTTAACCCAAGTCACTACCGACTGACCTACCGATATGCTTTTTTTCCTTCTCTCTAATGCAGACAGAGCAGCTGGTGACTCTTTGGATTCTCTTTATTGTCACAATTTCTGGAAATGCCATCGTGCTCTTCTCTACCTGGAGGAGGAAGCGGAAATCTCGAATGACCTTCTTCGTTACACAGTTGGCAATCACAGGTAATGTATGGGAGGGGAAAGGGCATCTGAACTACACAGAAATCAGTATAAAAATGACAAATAAGAAATTGCAAGTTGAGCGGTGAAGAATTCAGTTGCCACCTAACATCCAGCTGCAGCTTGCCATAAGACAGATGCATGGCTCTTTATCTTAGGGCTCAGTCTGCCTCTGATCTAGAAAGATGCTGCTAGATGTAGTAGTGTCTGTGTGAGATGCAGCAGCTGCAACTCATTGATTTCACTGAATCTTATCTTCCAGTTTGAATTTGCATCTGTATTTCCCAGAAATTATGTCCCCAGCTGTTGTCATGGTATTGTTTAGATTAAACTAGTTTAAGATGAATCTCTTGTGTTTTTCTACTAAAACCCTTTCTAAAGTATTTCATAATGGTATTGCTCCATCAGTTACGCTCTTGCATTGAAGAGTGAAAATAACTTCATGTTGTTTGGTTTAGCCAAGTAAGAAAAATATAAAAATGTAAATGTGGAGAAGAATACATTTAGTTAATTTTTTTGAATGGAAAAAAGGATGCTGCTCCAAGAACTTCATAGCTTTTGAACAAAATGGAAAATGTACAGAAACCTGGTTTGTAAAAACTTCAATATCTCAGCAACTAGGAATGGAAACAAGAGCATAAGCAGCACATTGTTTCTCTGTGGCCTTGAATGGACTGAATTTGTGGCGTTTTAAGTTTCCCAAGGGAAAATATGTGCTGTTTCTATAACAGTGTCCTGCTACTAATCCCTGCTTACAAGACAGCTGTGTTGCATTGTTTGTGTATATAGGATATATCTATATTCTTTCTGTTGCTTTTTTGGTAAGATATGGTAGGAGTTACAGCACTTTTCCACTAAAGGGCTGTTTAATATGTGATTTCCCAGCAATATTGTATCCTCATTTGATGTCTGTTGCATCCCTGTTTAAACTGGAAAAGCAAAGGACTACACTCCGTATTTTCAACATACTTTCTTTGCAAGTAAATGAACTCCTGCTCATGGTTTCAACCATGTCTGCCCAGGAGCTTGTCCCATTTGAAGAACTACTCTCAGTTGAAACAGTTAGAACAAGGTGTGCAAAGTAATGCAAAGGGACTGTCCCATAGCTACAGATGATGTAAGAATTATTGCAAGGTGAGGAGGTGAAGGTTTGCAGTGACTCCTCTTCTGAAATACTGATGGCTGGTTTTCCTGTTCGCCTGTGAGTCATCCGTAACAAATGGTTTCACTTCTTATCTCAGTCGTGACTTTCATGTCACTTCCTTCATGTGCCAGCAGTATTTTCCATCAGGTAAGGTGTGTTGATACAGCCTCACAGCACAGTTTGGAAGCATCAATCATAGATCAAGCATTACTGTGTTCACAGGAGCTGCGAAATAGCCAGTCTCTGCTCAAAGAGCTCCCAATCCAAGATGAATACACGGAAGATGGTAAAAGGTAGGCAACCAAGCAATAATACAGGGAAGGAGCACAACTGAAGCCCCAGACAGACACCATCCATTTTCTACCTACTGTCATCAGGGAGCAGAGTACTGTGGACAACTGTCATGAGAAGGGCTTTGGAAGTGAGGAGGGTGGAAAATGACCCCGTGTGTCCACCTGGCACAGAGGGCACAAGGGCTGGGCTTCCTGCCAGAGCAAAGGCACATGTAATACATGTAGAGGTAATAGAAGATGAGTCCTAATAGGAAGAACTCAACTAAACAGCAAAGGGTCTTGTCCTAGTAAGAAAACAAATGTATTTACTGCAGCAGAGAAAGAACCCGCATAAGGACACGAGTGTCCAGGTGAAAGAAATCAGGCAAGAAGCAGACAGAAGTGTCTGGACCAGGATAGCTCAGGAGAAGGCTGGTCCACACGAGGTGTACTAGGAGGAGTCTACTGTTGTTGCTGTGCTGGGTAAGGACCTGGGTGGGAGTTTTGCCATTTTGGACACAGAGGAAAGGCTGACTTTTTGGATTAGAATGGAGGTGGGTAGAGAGCTATTCACTAGGGGTTCAGATACCATCTACAAGAAGGAAGGGGAAGGCACTGCAAGTGCAGTTTTGAGGGAGCTGTAATAATCAGTGGCAAAGACAAGGCAAATACCCCATTAGATGTGAGCAGCAGATAGTGCTATACAACTGATGTTACAATATTGTCTGAGGACTATGTGTTCCACTTGCTGATTCTTTTGACCTCCCCTTCCCTAAAATTATCCCTGACTTTTAAATCAGAACTTCAAAGTGCCTGAGTTCAAGTGTGTTCCATTTCATATTACAGAAATTCCCATAGAAAACTCACTTGACATTCACATCTGCAATGTTAAAAGAAGTTAACACCAGCTTGAACAGCAAGCCTCCTTTCAAGCAATGTTGAGTTCTTTTTTGTGATGCAGGAGTCAGAACTGTAATTTATCTTCCCGTACCAAGAGTTCCTGTCAGTATTTTGGCACAAAGAAATGACTTAATTCCTGAAATGGAGCCATTTCACTTTCTTATCTTCAAAAATACTAATAAGAACAAAAGCAAGCTGGCAACAGTCATCATCCTTTCACAACAAGTTATGAGGTAGAATCAGAACATTATGAAAACACTGGCTTGTCACATTGCTTTGACATGGCAGGCATATTTAAATCCTACCAACTAAAGCCTAATCTCCTGGCAAACAGTTTCTGCTTATTCAATATTACTACTTCCATCTATTTTGAGATTCTTAAAATATTTATTATTTCTGATCCAGTAGCAGAGGGAAGAATAATGGATATAGGTTTATCAATGCAGGCGTTTCAAAGCCATTTAAAAACTTTTTGTCTATTGATCTGTGGCTTGATAGCTGAGTAGTGTCCTCAATTCTCACATATTCCAACTAATGTTTTACCAAAATAAAATGAAAATATAGCCTTCGTGTTAGAATAAACAAGGTATTCAAAGCAAATTGTGCATAATACATGAATAGGAAATGAGCACTGTTGTTCTCCTTGACTGGTTGCCAAGCCAGATGCAGAAAAGAAGTAACTAACTGATTGAGGCTTCTTTCAACACAGCCAGAATTCAATGGTTCAACCCACTTGGCAAATTCAGAGATAAGACTCATACTGATCCCTTGCTAAGCCATAATTCAACATAGTGCTCGAGGCTGCAGGGATCTGTAGGAATGTGAGCCATCCCTTCACCTTCAGTGTGCTTAAAGATGTTGCTGATGCCTGGATTAAGAATATTTCATATTAAATATATATGGCCATACAACTCCTGTGTCAGTACTGCATTTAAGTCTATGTTTAACTCCCAGTTCATGCATAAATCTCTTTGACATTTTCTGGGAATTAAGCACTAGGAAATCAGCTAAGAGTTAACAGCAGAGTTGAACAATAGTACTAATCACTCAGCATCATCTAATTTAACAAAGACAAATATTGCCTTGTGTTCAGTTTTCTTTCAGGCATATTACTTTTTTGTAAAAATGCTTTTTTTTGTGGGAACAAGCTCATCTGTGAAGACTGAAACTAAAGCTAGGTTTCCTACAGATTTCTACCTCCAAGGCAATTTAGTTTCTCAGACAGTGTAACCTCTGAAGATTTCCCTGTGAGGATGGTATTTCTAAATACTTTTTCCCAGGCAGATTTCTTCTGAGTTTAGCACAGGTTATGCTCATGGCGTAGCTATCTCTCCTGGCAGGAAACCTCTCACATCTCCCCCTACCTGATGCCATTTCACATAACTTGCAGAGTCTTAGTGTCTTTAAGATCTTTGCCTATGACTGAATTCACTGAGTGGTTCAAGATCAAAGACTGGCATCTGATAGATGGGCAAGTTCACAGATGCTGTATCACAATGGAAATTTTCAAGCAAAATATGGTTGTTTTCAGAAAAGATGGTTTGTCCACACATTTATATCCATTTAGATCACTTTGCCAGCTCTACCAAATGAAGGCTTCTTAACCCTACTCTCAAAATGTAAAAGTAGCAGACATATATAAAGCACACTTACTTGAGTAGCCTTGGACAAGGAATGTAATTTATTGGCTAAACAGTCCATTGAATCAAAACCCATTATCTGACCAATTCTAAAACCAATCAAGGAATAAATTAAAAATATCTGCTAAAAAGTATTTTACTTCTCAGTTTTCTTCATCCAATTTCAACTACTAGTGACAGAGGAACGTATTTAATTTCCTTTTAATGGGTGTGTAGTCTTTTGAGGTTTTTTTCTCTAAAATTAACATCTGGAAAGTTGGAGCGGGAAATGTCGTGATCATTAGCTCCATGAGTTTCTCCTTCTATTCCAACGTTTAGCAGAAATTAGTACCTTAAGAACAGTGTTAGATTTTGTTCATTATTAGGGGTAGAAATACAAGTAGGCTCTTTACTGCATGCCCAATTTTAAGCTGTAGGTGAATAGACTTGATTTGAAATACATGCTCACTTAGGTATTGCTGTGGCTGTAATGAAGAGAGAAAATAAAAAGAAAGTCAGCTAACTTCTATGGTAGCTTACATATAAACAAAAAACCCGACAGACAACCTGTAAAAGTATTTAGCTACAGTCTATATTGTTATATAAATACCAAATCCTAAGGGATGACTTGAGAATGACATTAAAAAGACAAGAAGGTATTTTTAAAAGTGTCTTTTTATATCGCTGCCACCTTCCTCAGTTGCTCCCAGAAAGCTGTACCGCAGAAGGCCTTGGTCCTTAAGCAACTGTACTCATTTTATCTAGTGTTTAGTAAAAAGCCAATACACTGAAAACTTGCTATGAGAGAGTTATGTGAGCAAATAGGTGGACTTGGGCCCTGCTAAAGCAAGGAATGTTTCTTTTCTGTGCTGCTTCTGCCCAGAGAGAGCATGATTATGCGGCTAAAACCAACTGGGCTCAGCCACCGACTTCTGGGATGGCTTTGGTTAAGATGACTGAGGCAGAGTCTGCCAACTAATATGCTAGTTAGATGCACTAAATAGGTGCATTTGACTCTACTACTACAATGGCTAAACATGAACAAACACCTTAGAAGTTGTTCTTCCT